TCCAAATCAACACTACCATGACTGCCACAACCAGCAATTATCCCGCAAAATATTAGAAGATAATACTAAAATATTAATGAAAGACACTAATTTTAACAGACTACAAATTTTAGAATCCCTATTTATTAATATTTATAAACCTAATTTGAACAAACAAATTTATTCCAATTTTATTTTACCTTCATCACGAAATGTTTAATTTATTATTATTATTATTAACATAATATTGCACATATAATATATTTTATTATGTTATATTACAAAATAATTGTTTATTATACTTAATTTAACTACTTACGTTATTTAACTTTAATCGTTACGTTACTTTCGCGCTCAACTCTTATTACGTCATCTGACAGTTTATTGTTATGTTTTATTTGAATTAATATTAAATTGCCTGAAGATGAATTATAAAATTCGAAACGTCGCTTAATAAATAATTATATAATGAATATTGGTGTTCTAATTTTTAATTTAAATTATAATTATAAAAAACTAATAAGAAAAATAGAAAATCTTAATAAAAAATTAAATAACAATAATATAAGCATCGCGTTTAATGAAATATGCTTAAATGAAAATTTGTTACCGAAATTTACTGATATATATATATATATATATATATATATATACAAAATATATATATATATATATATATTGTATATATTTTGGCATAACGCATTCATTTTTATAACCCTGGAACTTTTGGAAAATTAAATTTTTACTCTTTTGCATTGATTGCATTATATAGTTTTCAATACTAAATTTTGAATACTGCTTTGTTTTTGGGTTTCAAAGAAAGATAAATGCACTGCAAAGATTTGGAAATTAAAATTTAATAACAAATCAATTTCATACTAATTTATAAAAATGTAAATAAACTTCTTAATTTGTTGGCAATGATCGTTCTGAGGTTCGCCTGTACAATCTTGTAACCATCAATTAATCCAAGACGAATCGTCTCATTGAAATGTGGCGGGCATCGGACTGTTTTTGAAAATTTATTTTGAAATATATAAATGATGAAACCTTAAGTTTTTGTATGAATTTTATAGTTTGCTATAATTTAATTTAAAAAATCATGAGCCGGTGTTTAGGTTCTGGGGCGTTTAGGTTCAATTAATTTATCTGATAACTACTTAAGACATAATTTAGATTGTGAATGTGCGAATTTAAAAAATTATTCTATATTTATAAGTAGCCAGTGCAAGAGAACAAGATGTGGAGATATATGAGAAAAGAAAGAGACACGATGAACTAGACGAGCAGCAGAGTTAAAAGCTTTACTTAAAGGATAGAGTGTAGAATCAGGAAGAACATAGTAGAGCGAGTTACAATAATCAATCCTAGATAAGACTAACGAAGTAACAAGAAGGAGAAGAGTAGAATCTACAAGAAAAGGCAAAAGTTTTTATTCTACGTAGATGAAAATAAGAACTTATAGCAACACTATTAGTCTGAGAAGAAAGAAACATACTACAATCAAAGATAAAGCCTAGACTACGAAAAATTGTGAGAAACATCAAGAGTCTTAAAATCAGGTGAGTAACAGAATAGTAACAGAATGTTTAGATTTATTTAAACAATTTAAATGAAATTTAGAAGGATTAAGTTTAAGACACTTAGAGTCAGTCCAAGCGATAATTGAAGAAAGGCATAGAGATAGATTATGATATCGTAAAAATCTACCGTTCAGCCTATATATAGGTCCTGCGTGGACACAGAAAGTAGTCAGGTTTCTAGTGAGGTACGATACGTAGTTGTAATTGTGGTTTGTGTACTTTCTTAGATGGGTTTAGTGCTTCTATTACTGTTGGTATCAAATAAACATTCGAATATCTTGAACCATCGGAATAACGAACACTTGACGATCGTTGGAAGCTACAAAACTGGTGTTGGAAATATTGAGACCTTGTAATTTATAACATCTGTGTTGGTAGTAACAAGAGTTCAAAGGTTACAACAATATATATATACGTATATATAAAAAATTTGCAGATTGATTAAGTGAAAAGGAAGAAAGAGGGAGATATTTAGAGAGATGGATAGAGATAGAGAAAGTGCAACGTTTTGTATTTGAGAGTATAATTAACGTTAAAAAACAAATTAATTGATGTAGTAAAGAAATAATTGAATTATTATTTTCATACCTTCAAGACGTTAAACTCGAACTGCGGATGAGTATTGGTATATTTATTGAATAAACATGTATAAATAAACGAGTACTTGTATTAATTATATATATATATATATATATATATATATATATATATATATATATAGATTCCTTATGAGAGTTATATATAAGA